CTGCTGGCCTCCTTGTCTCAGAGCCAGTGGGCAAAGGGTAAGTGAGCAAACGTCTCCTATTGTTTCTGTTGCTGTAAGGCAATTCTGCACTACTCATAACTAAAATGGCACAATCCAATCTGTTTTCAAATCTTGAGGTCTAGTGCCAAATGACAGCAAAACAGAATTTCATAATGAAAAAAAAGATTACCAAAAAGTACAAAAAAAAGCTTAAGAAAAGCAAACTAAAGCAAACCAGTATTGGGGGAAAAAAAAAATTTCCTTACAATGAATCTGGATCCGGGTCAATAAACGGTGTAGCACCAAATGGATCGATGTTTGCTAGCAACATTTTGCTAATAATTGAACTTCCTGCAATAGAAGCAGCTAGACCAGCCCTCAAACCTGATTAAAAAAAAAAGAAAAAAAATAACAAAAAACCTATTTGTATTTGACAAACAGAGAAACATACATTGTCATAACATCAGCCACATACTGAAAGACAAATATTTATTACATCCATATAGTGAATGACTGTGTTTCTATCTCTGTTTTTACTTACACCGGTTATCTTTTCAGGTCTCTGGCTCTCAAGTAGAAAGACAGCTCAACCCTTGCCAAGTTCAGGTCCATGGCAGAGGGTTGGATTAGCTGATCTTTAGAGGTCCTTTCCAACCCAAACTACTCTGTGATTCTATGATTCTAAGATCCTGAATTTCATTTTTTATCCTCCAGAATCAAATATAACACTTCTGCTACATCTGGTGTTGTGCCAAATGATCAGGAATCTTCTACATTATTTTGCATTTCCTACTATATGATACAACACAAATATATGTATGTTGGTTCAAACAAATTCAGGGTTCCTGGCATGAAGTAAAAAGCAAGAGAACAGAAGGCAATATTAAAGTAGTGTAAGGAACACCAGATTTCAAAATCAAAATTACCTGGGCAGATAATCCTAGTGTTAAGCACTGGGAGGTTTTCCTTGCTTGCAGCCAAAGCTGGAGCAGAGAAAGATCCTGTCTGAGAATGGATACCTCGGCTTGTACGTCGATCTGGAGATCTTGGAGCAGTTTTAACTGTGCAGAAGTAGTAAGAGCACTAATTAGACCTATTACGACATTACCAAATCCAAAGTCTTTACAGCCCTGAAAACATTTCAAAAGAATTATTTTAATCTGTTACCATTCCGCGACAAACATCCTTCCCCCTCACACATTTTTTCCTTCTAAATACAGGGAAGAAAACTCAGAAAGAGATCAAGTGAAAAGCACAAATTAAAATGAACAGGTGTGCATGGCATTCAGTGTGATAAGTTCTCAATTTATGTTTCAAGATACTAGCAAAAACTGAATTACATCCACCTGAAATGCAATACTATTTAATGCTGTAGTAAGTGTCTGGTAAACATGTTAATGAAGTAATACAAATTTAAACTTACATTCAATGTATATTTACTTATAAATATACCTATATTATACATCTCATTATTATTTATAACAATTTTAATATAGATAGCTATTCTAATCCATAGGCCCTGGTCAACAGCTGTGCTATTTGCTTCAGGCAACTAAAATGGAACCCCTGCCTGCTTCAGGTTTCTGAAAACCTCAGACAAAACTCTGACATCTTTATCTACACCCAGTATGAAAACTGCAAGAGAAGGGAAAGACATGTTCAGACATTCTTGTCTTCTGCAGTTAGAGAGATCATGGGAGAGATCGGTTTCCCATCATCTTTTCTTTTTCACAAAAAACCCTCAGTAATTCCCAAATTAACTGCAATAACTTATTTGTCAAAATCCTCCAGAAGATAGATCAATAAAACCTTGTGACAGATAGCAAAATTTGGTAGCCTCTCAAAGTGTTGGTGGCAAAGGCATGCAGAGACTCAGGAAAAAGCAGCAGAGTATAATCAAGGGGAAAGAGAAGATGTTCACAAAGAGGCCAGTTGTCCCTGGAGCTGCCTCTGGAGGTGATGAAGAAGAATAGGCTTTTCAGAGGGCAGACCTCAGGTGCTGTAATTTACTTTCCTGGCAGAACTTGTTTCACGCAGACTGAGAGAACATGCCAGTGCCTGCTTCATAGCCTGGGGAAAGCTAATCTTTGTGAAATTCAGCTGCGTCACACGTAGCCAGAAATTGATGCCTCAGGGAAGAAAGTTTGGGTATTACCAAATGCTTTGCTATAGCATTTCCATGTGCACGTAGAAAGCTTTTGCACACCAGATGATCATAGACAGACATTTCTTGGCTACCTCTGTTCCATCTTATCTCACATGTTAAAATTAATTCAGCTTAGGATGACTCCAACCTTGACCATCTGAAGAGAAATTATTTCAAAGTGATCTGACACATTCTTCTCAAAACCTGAAAACTAATTCAGCAAAAATAGAATGATTAGGACTAGCACCAAGAGAGCAGAAGAAAAACATCACCAAGAATGTGGTGGGAAGGATAAAATATACCCTTTTTGTGGCAGGAGGGGGACAGATCAGTTCACATCAATCATGATAACTCAGCCTGAGAGTAATGTGGGTGTACTGTCTGAAGATATTAATGGAAAGAAAATGCAGAGTGTGAAAATCTAGAGACAAAAGGTAATAACAAGAACCAGAGGTTATGAATTGTGCTCAAATCAAGTCAGACCATTTTTTTGTAAGTTATGATAATCCAGCACAGAACAGTCGATGAAACGGCAAATTCTTCCCCTCATATATCCCAAGAATAAGATTACACACCTTTCTGCATGACTTGCTTACGTCAAGCTGAAATTATTAAGATGCAGGACAGGGATAAGTGGGTGAAATTTTCTGGACTGTTTTATATGAAAGGTCTGATCAAGTGGCCTAAGAGCTCCTTCTGTCTTGAACATCTGTACACCAGCCTTAGCAGTTATCACAAAATGCTATAGTATTGGATGATAACAATATGACACAATGATTTCTATCTGTGCATGACTAAACACTTTAATAAAATGTTAAAAAATGAAAAGAAAGTGCAAGTGATACCTAACAAGAGTTATTAAATATTTAAATGAAGGTAATTAACATATGGAAAAATATTATCTTCATCACCAGGAAGATTCACAGAGGGTAATATATAATATTCAGAACAAAATTAACATTCATTTTTCATAATGCTACTGAAAAAATCACAACGCTATTCACACAGTCTGTTCTCTCTGCACTTGGGAACAAGGCAGTTATATTAAGTAGGAAAATCAACAGAGCAGCTGCTCTTTATTTGACAGATGAGACTCATGGGGATAACTGCAATAAAGATAAACTTTTGCTGTTCATGCTCTGATAAAAACAACAGAGCCCTGATGAGTAAAACTGATGTTTCACTGCAGATAATTGAATTCATGTTTCCTGCTTTCTCCCTAAGCACGTATCTTCCACTGACAGCATTAATATGCACTCTGTTTCACACATATCAGAGGTATGAAGAATCCAGCTCCCCAATAAATGCAGAAGTCATATCACCAAGGAACGAGGGGTTTATCCTCTATGAGCTACTATTGAAAATGAGCAACTAACATGTTGACTTTACAACCAAGGTAAAAGGAGAGGGGCCAATGAAGAGACTGGAGAAAGTCTGAAATCCATTCCTGGAGAAAAGGAAACGTGAAATTCTGAATCAATAGAAGTCCCAAGAAACTAATGATGTATTTCTAAGGTAGGAGCTACTGACACAGGCACCAGCTTCAGAGCAGAGCCTCATGACGACAACACCCTTTGAAGATCTTGGCATGGGTTAGGGTAACAGAAGGAGATACAAATTCCAAACAACTTTGTTCATTTTGCCACAGGTAGTTGCTCACTAAATAGCTAGAAGATGGCTTTTGCTGTCCACCAGCTACCACTGTTTCTCCATAACTCACAGATTATCTCAAGACCTCACCTGTACTGCATCACTGCCCACCTTGGTAATATGGAAAAGACTGAAATTTCTACCTACAGTAAGAAGCAGCTTTCCTAAAATTACTACGTAGCTTGAGACTTTTGAACAACCCTGTCCCATGAAATACCAGTCAACACAAAATGCCATATTGACACTTGTGATAGGAAATGTCCAAACATGACCTCTGACTGGACTGGCTTGGTGCCAAAACCAAGGAAGGAAGGAGGTGAGGGTCCCTTACAGACAAATTTTATGTTTCCATGTGAGAATTAGTACTATGCTATTTCAGGAGATGAGTATGGAATACTATTTTCTACATAGGGGTGAAACACTGGAACAGGTTGCCCAGAGGAATTGTGGATGCAACATCCTTGGAGGTGTTCAAGGCCAGGTTGGATGACGCTTTGAGCAACCTAGTCTAGTGCAAGGTGTCTCTGCCTGTGGCAGAAGAGTTGGAACCAGATGATCTTTAAGATTCCTTCCAACCCAAACCATTCTATGATTCTATGATTGTAAATATAATTTTACACACAGTAACCGAACACTGAATAGCCAGAAGGAAAGCTTAGCAACAAAATGGGCTATTACTTTATGGAAATACTTCCTTCCAAGCAAGTTGTTTTAAACTCAGATCACTCAATATTTTGATTGCTTTGTACAATTATTGTATTATTTGTACAATTATTTGTATTATTATTGGTATAAATAATACAACTGGGCTCTTCCCATTGCATTTTAAAACCCAGCATGGGCTACCCACATTGTCTTCCTTTTCATGGAGAGTAACCTGCAGAGCCCCACAGTGAGGACAGAATGATGTTCCTAAAAGAAAGCAGAAGCACTCAGCAGCAGCTGATAAAGTCCATCCAACTGAGGACAGAGCAGGTAGGAAGCTCTACACTTTGCAAAGTAAGAGTAGCTTGGTATAGTGGCTTGCTACATGGCTTGCTATATAGCAGCTGCAAGGAACTAGGTGGACTAATGACCTGTATTTGGGACAACAACACAAGAAATTTTTCATAGGAAGGAGCTCTAGGATATTGAAGACTTTGGTTCAAATTTCTTGTCTGGATTAGACAAGTGGAGGATGTGACCTTAGTACTGCCACTTCTCAGGAGACTTCCATGCTCCAGTTTCTATTACATTCTTTCTTGCTTTACACTGTTCCACTTCATATAAAATACTCTCATATAAAAGAGATAAAATACTCATATAAAATTTCATCCTCTCCGTTCCATAACTGTCTCAAGGTAAGTTCCCAGCTGAGACATCAGGGTTTTGTTGTCAATACAATGAATAAATGTCTGTTTCCCACAACTTGAAACTCCTTTAACAGAAATGACTGACAGAAATTCCTAGAATACGCCCTAAAATGCCTGTGACTGAGACATGCTATTGCCAGTTACCTACGCTCTAGTCCCTGCTCAGGTTCATGCAGAAAGGTGAGTGTAAATGCTGGATTAAATGCAAAATCCCTCCCCAACAAATACCTTCTCAGCTTTGTAAATCCACTCCAAAAGACTATTCACCTCATCTCCTGTGTTTTTCCCTCAACCTTTATTTATCCAAATCTATTAAAATTTGTGACTAGTTTCCAGTGAAACAACATGATAGTATTTTTAATTATGGAGCCAACTGTGCATAAATTTTTAAGCATAATTTTAAATTAGTTTATTCCTAATTTACTCACTTGATAGGGACTCGAGTTCCTTTGTATCTTCCTCTTTTTCCTCTTCTTTGGATTCATCCAACTCTTTGCTATATTCTAGTGGGGTCTGGTTCACATGTTCTTCACTATGAGCATTCTGCTCATCCACAACTGCTTGTTAAAAGAAGACAGAAAGTTTAAAGAAAATCTGCAGAAACGGAAAACTAGCTTCTTTTTTTCCTGTAGCTTTAACTTGCAGTTTAAAAATATTAACAAACGATTTCTATCACTAATTCAGTGAAAAAGAGTCTAGCAATCCTTTGCCTATTGATAGAGAATTACTGCTAGAAATTTTCATTTTGTGAAAGATAATAGTTACAAAAGAAACGCACTTTTATATGTGCACACACATGCATACATGTGGATTCATATATGCAGACAGATAGTCATCAACATCCAAACAAGCTGCATTTCTTTTCCTTGCAGCTTGTAATAAGCACATAATTTTCTCTATGTAAGAATGAAGAAATCAAGCTTTAATAATGAAAATCTATGCTAGATTTTTTTTTTTTTTTGTAAAAAGCATCATTATTCTATCAGTAAGGATCAAAACATTGCTGATGTGCACCTTTTTCTGCTTGTTCAATGATCTGCCTCACAGCCTTCTTCAAGCTGTTTGCCCGGAGCATTAACTGTTCCCGCGGTTTGAAGAGTTTCTGGGTGGAAGACTTTGAGACACACTCCACTAATTGTTCTTTACTTTCAGACAAGGATTCTTCACTTGAAAACTCCTCTGCTTCTTCTTCCACAATGGGAGGAGTGATGCCTGGGAGAATGGGAGCAGCCTGGGCTTCTGTGTGAAGAGCCTGGAGCAATAGGTCTAGCTTCTCATTTAACTCGGTGCACTAAGACAAAGTGGTAAAGAATACATATACACCAAAAAACAGCGAATATATGAACATTTTCAGAAAATTAAGCATCAGATCACAGGGAGGGCACTAACCTCGCCATGCGGTAGGATTTAATATTGTCTGTGTCTAAGTGTCTAAACCATCGTCTAGGTAAAATCCAAACCCACGTTCAGCGTTTCATAATATCAGATTATGAGTAGGTCTGCATGGGTTTTTGCAGACTGTGACAAGCAACCAGATTAGAGCAATTAAAACAAAAAACCCCTACACTCAGACTAAAATAACACTGTGCTAAACTCAGCCTGCCACATAACTAGGGTACAGTTTAGATCTTATTCTTCTTCAGATGGCCTGCAGCACAGAGAGAACCAGCACAGATTTACCCATCCCATGCATTATAACAAATTATGGGTGCTCAGTGCCCCAATTTGGAGAGATAACCTATGGGGACACATCTAGTTGTTAGACTGAAAACACATGGTGGTTTTGAGGTTTGCTTTTTTTTTTTGCAACACAGCTAACATTTAAGGAAGTGAGTTGTCACAGAGCAAAGAGGCTCAAGCCAGAACCAAACACTAGCAAACACCTCTACCCCTGACTGAGCAGTTCCTCTCTAGGTACACTGGGAAAGAGGTGATTTTCTGTGCTTAAAGGAAAGGAAACCAACACTGTTTGGCTCTGGAACAGTAAAAAAGAAAATTCATTTTCTAAAATGTGCACGGAAGAGAAATGTGAACATGGAACCTCCATTTAGCAAGTACATTTTCTAACTCTGGGATTGTGAGTTTTGTGATTTTGTTTTCTTCTTTTCTTTTCAGCACATGTAAATTTTGTGCTTCATACCAAATCCTTCTGTTTTTTTTTCCAATGCTTTTGCAACACGATGTCTACAATTTACAGCTTAAATCATTATTTTTAAACACTTTAGTCTCTCTTCTCTTCTTTCTCCTAGCATACTCTCTCTTCATTATCCCACTGTATTCTTGTAGCAACTTAATCCCTTTCAGAGAAAAGCGCAGCTTCTAATGCTGAATATTTCCATTTATCTCTATGTATGTTACCATGTACTTCATCCTTTTTGAAGGAAAAAAGTGTCAACAGAGTTTACAGATAGTTCGAAAATAACTGTTCTAAGCACTATGAAGAGAAGAATTTTAAAGTCACTGGTTGAAGTGGAAGCCAAGCTGGGCATCCTGGAGAGGTTTAAAAACTAAACATCCATGAGCTATAACACAAAACCACAACTTTAAACCAGAAAATAGTCATCATCTTACTTTAATGGCCATGGCATCAGCTTCCTCTGCATTTTCTGTTGGTTTTTCATAAGTCTTCCCTATTTTGGCAACAAAGTCCTTTACAGTTTCACACAATATTCTTCAGATAAAAATAAGAGAGGGGAGAAATCAAATGAAATGAAATAGTTATGCTTTGAATACTAAATTCTTATGACAATTGGCTTATATGCATACTGCTGTACACCATTCTTGCTAGAAACTGAACTCTGTGATCATACTTGCAAAGCAGATGATACTCTTTTCCATGGCTTGCCAAGTTCAAACAATAAGCTTTAAAACAAAAACTCTTCCTCCATTTTATTTAAGCCTTTGCACACATTGCATCTAAGTGCCTTATTTCTAAGAACTGAGATAAACATGACTAATTTTGTTCATTCCCTGCTTGTACACCTTCCACATCAGAATTGTTAGCAAGCTTGTCTTCACTTTGTTAACTTCAAACATAGTCTTGCAAACTCCCATGCAAAGATCAAGCCTAGAAACCACGCAGAAAATTTACTGACTTCAACGGAGCACTTTTTAGATGAAAGCATATGGCCACACATGTCCCATTGCACAGCTCATGCTTTTGAACCACAGCTGACCCTGAGGCGTATCTATGCAAACTACAGTGGCTGCCATGAATTTTCATTGTGTAAATCAGAGAAAGACTTGGTTCTTATCACCCACGCTGCAGACTGACAGCAAACTTACTAACAAGGTGTGGATAATTGCTTAGTACTGTTCATTTGGTTGATATTTATTTAACAGAAACTAAATAGGTTGGAGAAGATACAGACACAATTTAGAATTTGGAGTTATAATAATATCCTGCAGCTTTATTTTCAACATGTGCTAAGTATACTTTAAAAATGAAACTTTATTAACTTGCTTTTAGCAGAAAAAAAAGAGATGTAATAACATTCAGATGTATTTTTGAAGATACTGTCACTGGTCTTTTGCACGTGGCAAAATACAAGTTATTTCACAGAAAAGGTATCCACAGAATACTTCTGGTTTCAGATGATGCCCATGATTTGCCAAGTAATTATATCTCATTTTTAAGTGTTTCAGTTTGGGGAAAAAAATTCTGTTGTCTGAGGCTGCTACTTATTGAATTGATATAGACAGAGCTATGACAAAGCTACCTAGCTGAAGTTCCGCTTCACATTGGTGAAGTTGTTTGTCCTCTTAATGATATGGATATTCATAAAACAAAACAGAAAAAAAATATTAAATAGATCACATATTTGCATTAGTAACAATAAATTTCATATTTAAGCTGCATACTGATTTGGAGTGATTTAAAATAACTTTATATTAAATGATTTTTTTAAAAAATGTTGATGTGTTCAGAATTAAGATATCCATTACAATTGTACCATATAAAAATTCTGCAGAAAAAACATCCTCTCTAAAATATATACATCGAGATATATTAAGCCAAATCAGCTGGGCTAGCCATAAGAAAATCAGGCTTACACAGAAGCTTATTATGGTGATGATGTTAGACAGGGGATTTATCCCACACATCATAGGTAAAAGCGATCAACTCACTTGGCAGATGATATGACAACTGAGTGCTGATCAGAATTGAGAATTTTTGCAAGATGAGCAGCAACTGAGTCCTCATAAGCAGATATCTGAAAATAGAGAGAAAAAAGACTTCAATTTCCACACGTTTCAGCAGTTTAACACCAAGTAGTGAGTTAAAACGCCTCCAGAATTAGCAAGATTGCCATTTCAGATCTAATACAAACACAAGCAGCTGGCAAAGCAGATTCTACCTGCATACTGTATTTTATGTACCAGATTTTTAATATTCAAAGTAATACTGCATCTGAGAAGTTGACCCACAGCTCTTTTCTGGCTGTAGAGAAAATAGTGAGTTATTTCTAGGCTAAAAATAGTCCATGAGACAGAAAAAAACCCTACCTTCTTTTTAGATTCATAACAATCTAAATTATTATATTTTAATCTCTTTTCTTTCTAAAACAAGCAATGTTTCCCGCAAACTAAGCTGCTCAACTAAGAATAAATCAAAAGTTTGCAGTTATAATCCTGAATTTTCTTTTTACTGTCAGATGGGCTTACTCCTCAAGTACCCCTACTGACAAAGGCTGCTAAACCGGCAAAATATTACCAAAACTAATCCCTAAGGAGCAAACCATTTAGGGCTTAGTCTTTACAAGAACATTTGGGAGAATGAATGGATGCATGCTCCATCTTTCTTGCAGAGAAGAATTATAAATCCTGAAATACTCAGGCAAAGATTTGCAATGGATGAGATTCACATCTTCATGCACTATATCCTGTCTTAAAAGAGACATGTATCCAGACCTCATTTTTAAGAGAAAATTCTAACCAAATTCCAACTCTAAAGCTAAAAATAAATGCAGTTCTGAAGTTTTCTGACAGCTTCCTTTAAGAATCACTTAAAATCTCTTTGTATGTTTTTTCCCCTTGATATGGAGCAGGAAGATATACAACTCTTTTTTTCTCCTAAAACCCAGCCTTAGTTGTAGAACTCTGACAGCAAAGCAGTTTTCGTTTCAAGGGAAAAACCAATATGTAACCATCTGATCTGTAAGAATGAACTACTGTTGTTCAAACATCAGTATAAAACTTCTGGAATCAAATTAAGTGAAGCAAGTCCCCTGAAACTGGAGGAAAGGAAAAAAAAAAAAAAGAATTGGATATATACTTCTATTTACTTTTTGAACTGCGCTTTAATACATCACCTACTGTAAAAGTTAATCATTCTTTTTCTGAAATACCATAACTTAATACACTCTGAAAAAAAACATTACAATAGAGATTGAACAGGGTACTTAAAAAAAAAAGGCTTTTTCAAACTCAGAGTAATGGCAGGTAACTAGAGCCTATAGAAATGATTTTCCAAAAAAGAGGTTTCATATAAGCAGTTCCCTCCGTTTTCAGGAGAGGTTAAATACAATTTCAAAGCCAAAACTAACTAGAACAAATTAGGTATTTTTTCCTTTACATGACAAAGATACACTTGAAAATGTTCACAGTCTTGCGAAATTAGAGAAGATAAAGCCTTGGTTTGACACTGGAAACAGAGCTGTGTACAAAGCAACTCCGTTAAAATCTCAGCCAGTGGAGCCCGAGCCTTTTTGCATCTCTATATCCAGCAAGCTGTCAAAGGTTATAACCCCCTTGCCAATTAAAACAGCCTGAATTATTAAATTATTGAGGAACCTGCTGATTAATTATTGCTTCTCAAGTATTTTTGAGCTAAAGTTGATATGCATTAACTTTCTGAAGGAATATATTATTTTCTCACTTTAAGTCAGACTTTTCATGCCAATTAATTTGATTAAAGCATCTCGCTCTCCCTCAAAATTAAAATCTCATCAGATAGTACAAGCACAAATCTAGTCTATCCTGAAAGATAGGCTAAGCTTTTTTTTTGAAGTCACTTATGATTTCGAGCTCTCTTAAAACAAAGAGAAAGTTGGATGGTATCCCCTGATCTAACTCACTTTTACAAGCTGCAAAGAGCTTCTTTGAGAATACAACCCTTGCCTTCGAAATATCAGTTTTTTTCGATGCTTCTTCCAAACTCAAGATAGCAAACATTTTGCTTTTATATATATACAAAATAGATTTTCATATATTTATATACATTATTATAGTATACATAGTATTATTTAGTAACATAATACTATAATATATTAAATAATGTATATTGCTATATAACGGTGTATAATATTATTATATAAAATTGAAATAGTATATTGGGTTCTTACATAAACTAATATATTATATATTGTATATAAACTCATACATAAGATATATATTAAAATATGTATTTTTTTAAGGAAGACATTTTTCTGACTGCTTTGCTGAAGACTTTCTACCTTCATTAATTTTTGGCAAATAATACAGAACTGGAAACCTTAATTATTTGAGATACACACCATGAGCAAACATTAACTCAGTTCAGTTAGCAGATCACAAAACATCTGTTTATTTTTCTGAAGCCATTGCTTCAGTTATAAATCTTGTCATCCTGGAAGCTCAAAGTTAAGTATATGAAGCAAGAAAACAAAAGCAAAAGTTCACCTGGCACTCCTCTGACTCTTCTGCAGTCACTGGAAGAATAGAAGGCTTTGCTGGTAATTTCAGTTCATATGACATTATACTCCACCTGAAAGAAACATAAGAGCTTTTAAGATTCCAGATTGTTAGTTTTATCTTTTCTCCAACATATCAACAAAAAGAAAATTCATTGTTACACCACAGAATAACTTGTTTAAAAAAAAAAAAAACACAAAACCAAAAACAAACAAAGCATCTTCATTTTTAATTGTATGCTAGCTGAATATGGGTGAAACAATTGAGACTAAAGATAATAATTTGTTTTATTGCTCAGATATTTTGTTAGTGATTTGACGATGAGCCTTCCTTGTGCGTAAATCATGGGACATTCAATGCAGGCAACAATGATTTTTCAGCAAAACATTCACAGTATAAAAGAATTCCTGCAAATTAATCGCAGAAGTCAAAGGAAAGTATATGTGTTCCTGGAGAAGAAAGCTCCAAGGTAACATGAGCTTCTCCTCCCAACTAGGGAAGAGAGGCATGAGTACAAAGCAAATGGTGAAGTATCTTCATTGACATATTTATTTCTTTTCCCCTGGTAAAGGACAGTACTCTACAGCATAGGTAGCATGAAACTGCTAATAGCAACATGCTTCAAAGCCTGCTGAAAAGAACAAGTAATCATTGCAGATGGCCTTGACAGCAAGTTTACTGAAAAGAGAGCAAAAAAATGAAACTGAGCTTTTTTTCAGTACAGAAAAAGACAAACATGATTTAATTCACAAATCTTTCAGAATGTCCAGGCTAACAATTATTTCAAAGGACCAGTAGCAAGCAAGCAAGCATCTATATACGTTGCTGTAAAATGATCAAGTAGTCTGCGGAAAAGCTTAAAATAAAAAAGGACTTGTTTCTCTATTTCATTAAAAAACCCTAAAATAAAATCCTCTTTGATCACATTCAAGTGTTTGTAACTAGAGCAAGAACAGAAACACGCAAAAGAGAAAGGAACAGAGTAAGAAATACTCCTCTCAAGAACAGAGTGTTAGACCTTCATTGGAATGACACGACCACCACCTTCTCTGATGTTTTTTAAATCAGGATTGCTCCTTTGCTTTACAGATGGAAACACACAAAACAAGAAGTGGGAAGATCTCTTGGTTTTGACTAAGAAAATACCTCAAACAAAAATATTAGTAGTGGATCAAGCCAAAGATTCACTTAGCCCAACATCTTGTCCATAGCTGATGCCTCAGGAAATTATTTGACGGGTGAAAGCACACGATGCGAGTTCTCCCCACATTGAAGGACAGAGAGCTCAGGTGTTTCCTAAATAAAGATGCTACCTTTAATGGTATTTAATAGCGTGCATGGAGCCTATAAAACTGCCCAAATCGGTTTTGAATCTATACAGTTCCTTAATGCTTACAACTTCCTGTAAGAGGCAGGTTATGCAGCTTTATCGGTTACGAAATAAACTGTCTCCTTTTGTTCATCTTTGGACAACGTGCTTCCTAGTTTCGTCACCTGCTCTCCCCTCTGACTCTTTGGTTTAAAAAGGACATTGAAGAGCTGTCCCCATTACTATCTCGGCTTCCCTCATGATGATGACCTGCACACTGAAAACCAAAACCACTGAACATTTAAGTCTCTAGGATGGATTTAGCCCGTCAGAAACCCAAAAAAATATAATTTGAATCTCATGGTAAATCATGTATATGCACATTTAGGTTTACCTGTCTAACATTTTCGTGCTGGCTCGTTCTAGTTTCTCCAAAATCTGAGGAAGTTGCGTATCATCATCACAGGATCCTCCCCAGCCAAGGACACGAGCAAGGTCATTTCCAGTACCAAGGGGTAACACTCCTAACTGACACTGAAACACAAAACAGGAGCAAATCTACTGTTGCAAACTAGAAAGAAAAAGTACAAGCCATTACAAATGCTTGTTATTTCAAGCAACAAATGTTAATTATACAGCTGATTTCTAAAGCTTGTAAATCAAATTGTGCAATCCCGATACTATTTGTCCTGTTTACACCAGCGAAAATTTTCATTTAACAGTAACTATTGAGGAGTTTATATGACAAATAAATATATGACAAAGAACCAAGTCAAGGAAAAGTAAGCATACAAAATTAAGTCTAGCCAGTATAGTCCAGGAAAGAACACACACTTGCCTGTTTGTGCAAGCTGAGCTTATCAATTTCTGACAAGACCCAACCCACGCTTCCATCGCCACCACACACAAGAATCCTGAAGTTGTCAAACTTCTGAAATAACCGCAAACTGCAGAGAAAATGCAGCCTGTTAGAGCCAGTTACCTCCATTAGCGAGAGAGCAGTTACGTTGATTAGCAACTGCTACATGAAAATATGGTGCACGGCACCATTATGGTGGTTCTTTTATTGTCCTGGGGTATGTGGAAACAACCAGTTACTTAATAAACATATCTGCATCCCATCTATTGCTGTATATTCCACTTATACTGACATTTCTGATAAATAACATGCCGAGTTTTACTTAAAAAAAAAAACGTTCTTGATATTGTTTTCAGGATTTTTTAAACACAATTTTATTAATGTTTTAAAAAAATTTCTAAGCTACGTAATTGCTACTGTTCTATGCTTCCCATTTCAGCCAGAAGCACAAGGCACTAACAGGAAATTTGGAACAAAAAGAGGTTAAGACATGATGATGGGATGTGCTCCACAATACAGGTAGGCTTTTGCCAAAGCATGACTAATCAAATGCAAGGACAGTTGGAGGCAATTATTACATACAAGGTGATCACAACAATATAAAGCAAGTAATACTAGTATTTCATATTAGATCCTTAAAGCCGTATCCTGCTTTCGTTTCCTACAACTCTTTCTCCTGTTCTCTGACTTTTAACATCTTCAGGATACAACACTTGGCAGTACAGAAAAGGAGGACAAAAGAGACAGAACAAGCAGAAAGGTGAGACACAGAGGAAAGGGGAATGAGATGTGAAGAAAAAGCCAAGAGGGAAAACCAACAGGGATTTAAACTTAAAAAAAAAAAAAAGAAAGAAAAGAATTAGAAAGTAGAAACTCTTAAAATAATAGACATTTATTTTTAATGCATGTTATTTTCCAGAATATGTATAATCTTAGAATTAAAAAGCAATATATTAAGATCACAAATTTTTGAAGCATTTATATTTTCTCTAAAGAAAATAACGGCACTTGTATGTGATAGACAGATACATATTCAGAACTAAAGATGCAGATTTTTAAGAAAAAAAAGTTGACATCAGTACAATTTCTCCTACACTGAGAAATGGGAGAAAACTCCTTAGAAATACATTTTCTCAAAGAATTCAACTTTGCTTTTCAGATCAACTAGAAAAAAGAAGACATCAGCACGACCCAACAGAATACCTGCTAAGGACCTCTCTTTGGAAACTGTTTGGGAAAATATTTAAAAGCAACCAACCTGACCTACGATTACTGTGCAAAACCAAAGTAAGCCTTCTGAACCATACTGCTGTTAGGTACAACTATATGAAGCAAGACAACTTGCAGATAGACAGACATATTTTTTAGACTGTCCTCTCTCAAAAATTGCCTCTCCAATTAAGATGAACCTTCCTTATTTTTACCTGTCATTATAATTACATGTACAAAATGTTAGCCAAATGGGACTTTGATTAAATTCAGCTCTCAATCAGGGTTATAATGAAAAGAACATGACAACTTAAAGAGTCAATATAACACGTCCGTAACACAGTACTAACTACAAAAATCCACAGCTTTATTCCATTATACTTCTATTATTTGCTCACTGTTTGAACTGAATTTTGTTGCATTTGTTTCATCTACATTTTTATCAAGCAAGCAAGCATAATTCTGCATCCTTAAGAGTACAAAAAATAGTGTTTCCAGTTGCCATAACTGATATTAATAGGCTATTTAACCACAATGCTACATCTGAGTGGAATTAAGTTAGGCAATAGAAAAATGTGCATGAATTTAGTCTTTATGAATGTGCAAAGATGCTTGGGTTGTGGCCACCACTCTGCAAATTTCATCCCTATCTCTCCCAACAATCAACCCTTAGATTTTGTAGAATGCCTGATGGCTTTAATCGTGTTCTTGCTTCAAATTTCGTGAGATGCTCATTTTCTGGACCATTTGCATATGATGCCTAAAACCAGATTTTGAATGTAGTTTTCCCACTGCTGATTCCCCTGCTGACACTTGCGTTCAGAATTCAAAAAAGATACAGAGTACATTTAGACAAAAAGTTTTATTCCATAGCTATTCACAGCAAAGTTACAGGAATATCTGAATTATGCATATCAAATGGAAGAAAAGCACCCGGGCCATGATTGAGGAAAGCATCTACACATTTGTAATGGTTTTGAACCTTATCAGTTAACAGAAGTCAAAGCTAGCCAAAAAGACACAAAAAAAATGGGCTGATGGGTTTTGGTTTTAAATTTTCAAGTGAGTTTTTCTAGAAGGAAAATATTATCCTACAATTCCTTCAACCTCCAGAATTCATCCTGACATTCTGTTATCTATTTTAAGATTTTAATTAGGAAGTTACAGTAGATACTGGTGAGAGAATTACAGCAAGGAGTGGACAACACAACACTATATTTTGCACTAAATTCCCTTGTAGAAAGGATTGCTTAAGATTTCCAAGGTCATTACCCTAAGTGAGGTCCTCCATTCATTAAATCGAACACCTGAGCTGGATTTAACGACTGTTTGAATCGACGAAGAAACTTTACTCCCTGATTGTCTCCACTCTTTGAGTTAACAAAAACTAAAAGAGGACTGGCACAGGATGGCGGGCATGTGGCTTTCCAGAAACCTGTGAACATAGTTAGAAAGAATGAAATAAATAAGGTTTTCTAATATGAACAACACAAAAAGAAATCATGGGAAAGAGGGAGGAAGAAATGAAGGACAAAAGGAGTACATTTTATCATGCATAGTGTAAATGCTAAACTGAAAATTAGCCCTGCAAGGAAAACATAATTGCTTAAGATTTACCAGTTCATTTTTCTCTCCGGTATTTTCAGTGCCTAGATTTTCAGTAAAATCCTGAAGACAATAGCTTTATTATTTTTCCACAGTGAAAAAGATTAACCTTTTAGAATACTTCTCAAACCACGTCTTCACAGATTATCACATAATTAAATATATATTTCAGTTACAAGTGTTCAGGTTTTAATCTGATTTTTCTTTAACCATACTGGGTTGAACTGGATCATCCACATCTGCATGAGCTTTCTAAGACTACTCTACAGATTTTAAAAGTCACTGTACTCAGTTGTTCCTAGTAGAGACTTTGCCTGAGAACTTTTTCTCAAAACAAAGTTATACTATTAATTATAATAGAATCATGGAACAACAGACCTTCAGTTGTGATCCAAAGCTTATTAAAGTCAACACAGGTCTCAACTGATTACAGCAGGCTTTCTATAAGGGCCTTAGTAAACAGTACTAATGGACACTGTTGTCACTAACATGACCATTCCATGGAGTGGTGGTTTCTGAGCAGCACTTCATAATCAGGCATCACAGGTATACGTTTTCACATTTGGTTCAGGCAGTAGTAAAATAACTATGCTGTTTACAGTTGACTAAAAAAATTACTAAAGCTACAAATAAAAAATTAGCATTAAAGGATGTTAATTTAATTCCACATTATCATAGCGTATAATTTAAAATAAGGTTTGATTAATTTATTTAAATACCAAGAAAAATAATCATCTCACATGTGGAACAATGATAAGCATGAATGACAAATAGCAGCATGATGCTCCTGTCTGAGACACCACATAGCAAGTAAATAGAAAAGAGTGAATATATACAGCATAAACAATCACTTTTATTAACTTCATACAACAAAATTCATTAAATTGTGTTAAAGATGTTGGTCTAAATTTGCTATAAATACAAACTATAAAATTAAAGCAGTCAGATTTCATGATAATCTTTCTTAAACCCACTCTCTGCCTTTAAGTGCAGTCTCCCACTGCTCACGCATCTCTATCCTGAGCCACCAAAGAGCACCTCCTAGATTTGACAATTTGCTGGTGTATTTTATCAGTGTGTTGCAGGATTCTTACACTGCTTATATTTAAAAGAAATTTAGAGAGGCTATGAAATCGATTCCTCTCTTTAGCCTGGTACAGCAGCTGTTGGATCTGAGCCATTCAGCTAGCTTACCTCTGCATAAAGCAAAGTTATCTAGAATTTGAGAACTCAAAGAATAAGTAATGTGTGCCAGGCAGGCATCAGCCCACTTCATCTGAGGACTCTGGTCATTCACTTGAAAAGTTTCCAAGGGTGATAAACAAAATCGGAGAAAATTTCCACTGGGGGAATTTTCAAAAACATTTTTAAAACCACGTCAGTTAAATAATTCTCCAAAAACCTACACAGAAAATTATACTATTCTCTAAATCTGAAGACTGCATTCAACTGTTCAGCAGAAGGATTTTAGCCTTTTTTAATTAAGCAGATCTCACTAGATACTGCAGGTCCAGAATTACCACTGAACACATTACAATACTACGTACCATCAGAGTCTATACTGTTCAGTGCTGTTGGAGGTATGATTGATACCTTACATTGGCCAAGTGGACATTTACGAGGATACAGATCTTTACAGGCAGTGTGAACCTATAAAAGAAACACAAAATTAAAAAATGGAATTTCTGGGTGAAAGGATAACAGATACAGTATCTATGTAACAAAAATGGACTAATATATAACCTTTAGGCGTGGAGGGAAGAGGAGTGAGACTGGGGGGAAAGAAAAAGTGTATTCAACCACAAAAGCTTGTCACTCATCCCACAAAACATAAGTTTGGAGTACTTCATCTTCAGCGACTCCTATAGCAGATATGAATCATCCTTTCAAGGGAATCGCTTACGTCCATCCATGAGCAAGGGAGGACCAAGTTCCCAGCAGCCAGCATCTGTGCTGGGGGCAGTGGGCACACTGTGCACACGCAAAGCAACACCTCTATACATGCCTGGTCTACCTGGATGTTCTGGAAGACATATCTGCACTAAAGCTAGCATACCTATCAAGCCAGACAAACCCAACAAAGATGGGTCCCATAAACCATGTGTTGTAGAGGCCTGTTCCGTAATTGTTGGAAAAACAGGCACACACAGAGGGTGCTGCACTTCACCTAAATTTCAGATCACTTCTAGAGATGCCAATCACGCCGATAGCTTCAACAATAAAAAAACTGCTGTCTTTCCACTTCTATAGCCTAGCGTATGAAACCCATCTTTTTAGACAAGTCAAATCAAGAGAAAACTGTATTTTAGGGAAACAGCAATAGCATGTCACAGAATTTCAATCACCAACCTACAGAGTGTCCTGAGGAAGAGAACGTCAAGATTTTGCAGTAATAAAAATATCATTACATTACTATTAATAAATATTAATTAATAAATATAAATAAAATTACTAAAAAATTATTGCAGCAATGCCTACAATAAAAGAGACAAGAAAGCAACATATGATTATCAGACATACAGAAGAGTCATCTGAACCTTCAATTATCAGCAGGAGAAGGCAGAGCAAACATATTGGATGACAACACCTATTAAAGAAAAGCTGCATCTGTGGGTGTATTAAAAATTAACTGAAGCAAGTAAGACAGTGATGAGCAATTATGAACATTAGAGGGACCTGACTTTGCACATGCTGCCTGCTCCTACTTAGTCCAAAAGCACAGTTATGAAATGACAAAATAAAAATAGTGGTGAGCAATAAAGCTGGCAAAATCCTAGACGTTTGGATGTGGTTCAATGCACCTACCATAGCTTTACACCAAAGGCACTTCCAATCTTGCAGGCGTAAAACACTGCCACAAGTCTTGTCGCAGACTGCGCATTTGGCACTGACGGGCAGATTACCCTCTAACCACTGATGAGGCATAGCTATCTGTGAAGAAGTAGTCATAAAAGTTAAATATTTGGAAATCGAAATTAGTTTTGTCTCTCAAATATAGGTGGATTTAAACTATTTCACATAGCTCTACTCTTTCATCTAAGCAGCAGGTATGGCTGACCAGGATAAATGACACTGATGCTCACAAGGCAACAGCTATGAAGGTGGGCTATGGTGGTGTTTCACATGCTAGGCAGAAAACGTGACAGCTGAAGAAGGGAGACATACTTCATTCAACTATTCATGGTACTATGGTAGCAACTAACCACAAAACAACAGGGCAGTTAAACCTAGAGACTCTGTAATACAAATAAGTACCTATTCCCTTAATGTTGACTACATAACACAAATCAATTAAAATAACTAAAATTCAGAATAATAGGCAGAACAGTAGAATGTCTCCTTGGCTTTACGTACCCCCTTGGTCACCATGGCTGGTAAGTCACAGCTCTATAGAGCAGTCCCTAAATGCAGTGCAAAGCTTTACTCAGTGCACTCTTTGTCCCAGTAATACCACAGGCAACTCATGACACTCACAGGTGTGCAACTTAGCACTAACCTTCTAGGAAGAAGTTTCACGTAAGTGGCACATACATAGACATGTTTGTAAAAATAACACATCTACCACAATAAAGCTCTGAAAAGATTTGTCATTTCTCCTGCTTATTTTAAAATTCCTGCTTTCATCAGTAAAAAAACCTCTGCACATCAGTGAATTCCAAGCAGGCCTATGAAACCTTTCCAGCTGTCGATAAAGAGGACACAAAATAGATTGCCAAAACAGCACGGTAGCAGCAAAAAATACCACTTTTGCTTAAGAGCAGTAGGAACTTCTGGGAGCAATTCTCCAGCTTCAGAGTTTCTCTGCATGTGGCCTTTAAAATCTTGTAACACAGCTGCAATGTAGTGCCCATAGATACTAAACTTGTCTTGTGACATAGGAATGTAACTTGTATTCAAAATATCACGTTAATCTTTGAGAAGTGTTCAGGAGTATAGCCACCTACCATTAACTTCAATGGGTCACACGGCAATATTTCCACGCTTAGCCTTTTTTTTTGTCCCATAAAGAAAGAAACAGCTTTGGAAAATACTGTAAATAGGAATAGTACTTACACCATCTTCATCTTCAATGATGTCTTTTCCAATTGAGGCTAATGTAGTCCATTTGCAGTTATTTGTTGCTCGGACAGCACATCTTTTATGTGCTTTAAACTTACACACTGGAAGGCACACATAAACATGTATGCTATGTTATTTGCTGTATTTCAGTGATACATATCTTTAAAAAAAATAGATATTCCATAAAACTGCCAATTATATGTCACTTAGTCTTGCACACATGACACAACCCAACTAAAAGAAAATTCAGTTCATAATCACTTCAGCTTTAATTCTCTAAATTAGGTTTAACTGCTTAGCTGTAGCCTATGTCAAGTGTGTCCTCAAATCCACATCAGTCTCCGTTTTTTCAGGTGCAATGCAAGGTACTAAGGTACAAATACATCTTTAACTGTGTTTTTGCCTTTTCTATTCCTCCAATGATACAACTCAGATACCTGGTTTAAATTTACAGGAGGTGATGGGGGAGGGTTTCACAGAAATATTTTGCTTCAGGAGCTCTGTTTGTTTGCTTAAAGGATCCCTTTTCATCACCATACTACATCTGTTTTCCCAGAAGCCAAGAAAGTGGATGGTTAGGTGATGATATATTTATACAATATACTGGTGGTTACAATATTTTGCAAGAGGTTACATTAAGTGAAGAAGAGCCTGACTTTTTATTGGATTATTTATTAAAAATCTAGTAATTGGAATATTCAGCACAAGTGTGTGGTACAGGCAGACATATAGACAATTTAATATTTGTATTTTGTTCACCTCAATTAATATGGCTAGTTAACGATATCATATTAGACCAAACAGACTGACCCACCCAACTGTGGCATCGCTCTTACTGGAAGTGCATGACATCATTCTGTTTAGAGTGCATTATATAAATTATTTTGGCAAAGACCATTAAAGGTTTATGAGAACTAGCCAGCAGACCAGAAGTAGTAGTCTCTTTTCAAACAAATATTTGACAGGAAACTATCAAAAGCTTGGCCCATTGCTTGTCCACTATTAAAAACATTAAGCCACAGTACAAAAGGTCTTGTGAATCATAAATTCTCATTTTAATTCCACTGATACATCACCAGATCAATTTAAAAAGTGATTTGAGACTACGTAAGCAACATCTGAGTTTGAGAGGAATCATCCCTGTTCTGGGAGATGTGTGAAAGTATATGCTTAGCTCTAAGAAAGAGAAGGAAACAGAAAAAGGAGTTTTGTTGCTCTTACAGTAATTCCCCTGTTTATTTCAAAAAGTGGCGTTCATAGACCTGAAATGTGCAAATACCCCATATTACTCAATCAACAGGGTAGGCTCACATTTTCAAAACAGTTCAGCATCATATTGTGTTTGCCAAACTAAGCTGTTCCAAGCACTTATAGAAGTTAACACTCACAAAAGCACAAAAATAAAGGCTGCATTTTCAAAAGTGACAGGCCTTGAGCAGTTTTGTCACTTGAATGTTTTGGAGAAGATGTGTCATCTTCATATTCGTAAATAATATGCATTTGTCTTTGCTATGCAGATCAAAATACAACAAATCAGGGAAGAGGGGCAGCAGGAAATCCCAAATGACTATGGCACAGCAAAGTAAGGGAATTTTCAAATCCTACTAAGCTACGGTTCAACTAGATCTCAGGGCCCTGTATTCAACCTCTGCTCTCCCAACAAGGCAAGAGAAATTCAGACCCAGGATCTGAAGATTTGAAGCAAGCCGCACCATGGATGGTAAGTGACAGCTCATGTTTGCTTTGTGGGTACAGTATATAACTTACCAAATCTCAGAATTGACTTTCTGTAGGCCACCTCCCTGTAACCCCAATATCATCAAGCAACAATTCATGTTACCCTTAGCATTAAACATCAAAAACAATGACCTTAACACACAGACGTAACTTTCAAGCAAAATACATAGCAGTACAGAAGAGACAGGCATAGAAAGAAAAATTTTTAAACAAATCTCAACCTTAGTTATCACTACCTTCTAATTTCTTTTGTCTCAGATGACAGTGCATCCAATTCATGAATCAGTCTGATATCTGAAATCGTTTGAAAACATGCAGACATACTGCTAGGCATCAATTGCCACTACTTAGCCAATGAAAGTTAAAAGATAAGAAAAGGAAAAATTTAGCCAAATCAAATCTAGGAAATGTGTAGAACATTATTTTATATTTTAATTTCCTATGTAAATGCTTCTAGCTGGAATATGAAGCAGATCTCTCAGAAAGCCAAGAAAATCACTTAATTAGCAAACAGTCGTCACAGTGGTACCAACATCTGCTGTCAGACACAGTGATTAAATCTAGAGCTATTATTATCTATAATGAAGAAAAGTCAACATTACTGAGCGTTATCACAGGATTTCCCGCACTGAAAATATATGCCTTTGTTATAGAACGCTTCTGTCTCACAGGCCTTTCATTCTAACCACCCACCAATTAATTCAACTACATTGGCAAGACATTCAATTTCTTCTTCCCCAAACTTACCACTCTACCACCTATTTTACGATGAGTTTTCTTTTTTCTGTTCTTCAAAGAACTGGCTCAGACTGTTCTTTTCCAACTTCAAAGGCCAAAGCCAAAGTTTTGAAACTGATCTGAAGATCCCTGAGCTGATATCTATAGTTTAAGTTGTCAAGATGGAAGGATTTGTCTTCAGGTATTCCAAGAAACCTGCTGTTTTGTTTCTGAGAATACTATCACATGACAGATGGACAAGCCACAGTGAAAACAGAGTGACTCAAGTGAAAACAGCAACGTAAATTCACTCCAATTTGAAGCTTATGTCTATGTCATAAAGGATAAAATTCAGTATTTTCTTGGTAGTTTTTACTATACACACCCAAATAAAAAACTCCCTAGGTTAATTTAATATTACAAACAGAGTGCTAAAAGAATACTCATATTACAAAGTCAAGTACTACAAAATTAAGTTACTCATGCAACTTTAATATAGCTTCCATATGCAAGTGTAAAGTCTTCAGTTATATGACCATACACTTTTTGAGAATAGGACCCTCATTCACTGCATGCCATGGATGATTCTTGGTACGTACGCAGTTGTGCCGTACTCTGTTTCATAATGATTTTCAACATGTATTTGCCTTATTTACAAAAAAGCTAATGAAATACTGCTTTTTAGACACCAATAGTCATTTCTTCCTGGCCTTTTAAAATTATTATTATTATTATGCTCAGTACCACTGCAGTTAAGATCTTTTTTTCAATACTGTACATCTTCAAAGTATCAGTGACTTCAAAACAGCTTCAGCTGATTTTTGCAGTTACATAAAACTCAGCATTTTTGTGACATAGGTCCCAGATTATAAACAACACACAACTACTGATTTGATAAAAAATCTTATTGAAGTGATTTTCCTAGGATTACAGAGGGGCACAGTGTGATACAAAGTCACAGAACACAGTTTTCTATTACTCCTAAATTCTTTTAACCATGAACATCCCTTCTCTTCCTGACCGCTTCATTCACTATTCACTCTCCAGCCTGTGCAGAAAACGTGGCAAAAACCCTGGAGACAAGGACTATCCAAGTAGTGCATGTACAATACCCTGTGCAGTGGGTAAGAACAACAGCGTTTTGTGGGGAAAAAAAACACAATCATAATGAAAAAAGACCAAGTGCACCTCATTTGCAGAGGCAATTTAATCCCAGTGTTTTCTTATTGCTTGACTTCACAATCCTAAAGTGTTTTTTCAATATTTTTTGTTTGTGCAATTCATCACAGTAGAAAGCATCTCATTTAAACTGCAATCTCCAGCTTATTAGGTATATTTGATATTCAACATTCAAGATTCAGTCATGATAATGAAAACACTACGTGAAGAAATACATCTTTGAGAATAATCATAAAGGCAGTGTTCCACTGGCAATGACTTGGACAGAAACGTGGTATCAATAGAGAGCAATTGAGGCTAAAGAGCTTTTGAAGAGTTTCCATAGATAATAATCTATGTTCTTTAGGTTTCTTTGCGTAAGCATTCCATCTATCTGTGTTTACCTGATAACCTCTTAGGCTCAGAGTTCTGAGCATACAGCAAGCTAAATTCTGAATAAGAGAAACATTTGAGGAACATAAAGAACAAAAGCCTTACTTGATTCAGCTAGTTTGGAGTAGTTTCCAAAGCAAGGCAAAAGAATTATAACTTCTCTGTCCTAGTAAATACTGTGGATGAATGGTGCAGAGATCAGTCCTTTAGAGCCAGCTAGAGCAACACAACACACAGATTGTCTTTAGAGAAGACACAAAAGCAGGAACTACTGGGAAGAATAGAACTGCATCTCAAAGGAGTGTATGATTAATTTTTTTAAAAGTCAATTATTTCTTGAGCAGTAGAAAGAATGAAGCCTGGTTTGATATGAATTTACATCTTCAGTTTGACACACGTATCGACTCTTTGACTTGTAAAAAGATGCAACTTTACACTACAGTCTTCTCCCTAGCAAAGATACTAATGTACCTGCTTTTCCTACACTGGTTTCCACAAAACTTACAGGAGTATCTTCAGGGTGGCCTGCAGTTAATTTGGTCAACCTTTGCCAAGGCCTACTGGGAGGGAAGGTGCCCTGAAAAAAGAAGGCACCCATCTTATCTCCAGAAGAAATTAGGCTTGTTGTGCGGTCAGGCTAAAAAACCAGTTGCGCAGTGCTGCTGGAGACTAGCAGGTCTAAGAGAATAAAATATTACAGGACTGAGCTTCTAAAGTATTGTAAGGTGCAAAATATCAGTGATAGGATTTATTTTTATTTTCATCTACAGGTAATAGTCAATAATCAGACCACAAAGAGTACGAAGACTCTAAGATACTTTTGAGATAACTTGGTGTGCCAGTAATGAGAACCACTGAGAGAGGAAGAGCTCCAATATCTCTTGAGAAGACGCCTCTCGTGCTTCTCAATTGAAAAGATAATAGAGTAGCCCAGGATCAATGATCACACAAATAATTGAATTTAGTATAGATATAAATGGATTCCTAGTGTAAAGCAGTACTGGAAGTTTCAGATGCCAGGCATGAATATTTAAACAGGTTTTTTAAAGATCTAATGAGAAAAAGCAGCACAGAACACGTCTGGGGAATCTTAAGACTCCATACTTCCTACATCATCTCCTGAAACAGTGTATATTGCTAACACGGTGTAAGCCAAAAAAATAAATGGTGAAATGCATTAGAAGTGCACATGACAGAAGCAAGTAAAAATTAACTCAGTCACATTAGAATCTCAAAGAAAGAAATAGTGTCAAACCAAAATACACTTCTTTTATATAAAGAAATGAAGTACAGTTAAACACGGGTTTTTACAGATACACAGAATCAGGGACAAAGTATGAGTATTCCAGTAAAAGAGTCAACCTTCAACTGATTTAGATCAGATGTATAATTAAGGTTCTCGTTTTATTTTTAAAAGCACTTGAAAAAAAAAATAAAGAAAACAGATATAAACTAGTAGCTAAAAAGTAAAAGGAGGTAAACTTATTAATAGATAAAAGAATATCATAGTATCTACATATAAACCAATCCAGGTTATACACGTTTATGAAACTGTGAACCAGTGAAAGTAAATCCAGTCTACCATCAAAAGCCATTCATAAAAACTGCTGAAATATCAACTGGTATCAGAAACGTGGCTAAATGTAGCATTAGCTTGTAAAAAGTTATGCAGAAAGTTGACAAAGTCCAAATCTGGAAATTAAGGAAACTTCCTTAATGAAAAAGTTAGCGTCATGATTTGATGTGGCAGGAGGAGGTTCTGGTGGCAGGAGCTGGCCACCGGATCCTTCCCCCCCACACACATCAAACCGTGACAGCATCAAAGCCTCGGAAATTAAAACCATACTTAGAAGCAAAATAAGACACTGAAAAGCCAGAAAATGATGAACTACAACCATTAATATTGATAATCTTACAAGAATAATTCTTGCTAAAGAGCCTTTTGAAATAAACCATGATATTAACTTATGAAAGGATAAATTCTTTATGAAAGAAGTCTTTCCTTTCCTTTGCCTGAGCAAACAGAACTGTATTTGTACACAGAGGCAATAAAACTGCATTTTAGCTAAGCACATGATTCTTCCATCTGCCAATATCAGACACTGAAAATACCATAATTGCCTTAAAACTGTCCAAAGGACTTACACGCAGTGGAAAACACAAAGCAGAGAAGCTGGAAGTAACTATGCTACTTCCAATTTCTATGAAACGGGTTCATCCCGTTCCTTGGCAACTGCACCATTAGCTACATTAAAAGCACGGACAATTCAGGACAGTGGGTTAATGTTTCCTTTGTAAGGTTTCCTTAACATGCCTTATTATGCTTAGACCTCAGGTATTGTAACAACATCTGCGTTTGCAGTTGGGCAAGCACGCATTCAAAAATCAAGTTTTGAACAGTGTTAAGTAACAGTAACTCTTTTCTGGACAGTTAGCTATTTTGTAATTTAATATCTCTACATTTCATACACACCATAGGGTCACACTGATACTTGATTTTCTGCTGGATTCCAACACAAGTAGACTTCTTACCACTTTTTCACAGAACTTGTAGCAAAATATAAATAAAAAAGCTCTTTCAGGTTTAATATAAATATTTGTTTGTGAAATAAAATTTCTCCGGATAAGCTTAATGCCAAAGTCTTAGCGACATCTCCTTTTTTTTTTTTTTTTTTGTGCTGGATTTCATCTCTTCATCTATCAAAACGCAAAGGCATCTACATCTCTACGCCCTCACTGCATGAGAGAATTTTTAAAGCAATAAATCTCTCCTCACCTGTCCTGCCCATACTGCAGGATCAGACAGCAGCAACAGAGCAAACAAGAATCAGAGGTTATAGTGCTGAACAAAGCGCTAAGAATTTTTACAGATTTGAGGCAGAAACTACCATTACGATTTTTTTCCTGAGGAATGCCAATTCTGCAAACCAGTAAGACTATTTTGTTTCACATCTGCGTTTTTGAAGGGGAAATCAAAGAAATCCTATCTTTTCTTGCAAATCGTCCACTCAGGCACACACATTCCAAACTGGTCACTGCAGCAGAAGGAACTGTTTTATTGAAATGCATTAGAAAAAGGCACTCGGACCGCGGAGAAGGTGGGCCAGATCATTAGCAGTCCTTCTGCCCAAGAGAAAGTCACTCTAGTAAATAGATTTCTCCCCTCGGGCTTTTTTCTTACTCATTAGTTTCAGAATCATTACTTGTCTTGAATTTTCAGCCATCTGTCTGCACAACCAGCATTACAAACAGGGGGAAGAAAGCATTTATTTTACCTTCACAAGACAGGCCGTGAGAAGTGACTCCAGAGAGGCTCTCTCTACACACGTTACAGAAGGTGGGTCGGGCATGGGAGCAGGCGTACCAGTTATGCATCCCTGAGAAATGTTCCACATTAAACTGTGCGGTCTAGTAAAGGAGAAGTTAAGACAAATTTGCAAGTACAGAACACAGCTACAGTGACTGAAATTACCTACGGTTCCATATTATAGGGGACAACAACGCAATGTTCACCAAAAGTATTTTCCAAAGGGTATTTAGCCTGCTGACCCTCCGAACTTCTAAACAGAAGTGTGATAACACGCTCTCATTTCGATAGTGAAGGTCTTAACAGGAAGCTTCACTCTGACGACACTCCACACACTTTTCACACTAAGGAGGGTGAATACTCCAGTTCTGTGTCCTGTAGCTTGATCTGTTGAGCTAGAGCAAGTCGCACCAACAGGGATGTCAACTTACCTCATAGTGTTCTCTGGACTGAACGGACTTCAGAGAGCTTATCCAGTCCTCCATTTCTTTTCGGTTCTCAGCACACAGTATTAGCCTCCTAAATGGAGTGATTATCTGAAAAAGATAACACATTCTGATTAATCCAAATAGTAAAACTCGTGATAGAGCATAATATTTAATGTACTCTTTCCTGTGAGATGATGCAAGAGGAAGACACGCCCTAGATGACAAGATATTAAATGCTTAAAAAAATATTTTCTTTAATACACTACCAACAACAAAGGAGTTTGCTTTTTCTTTTCCAGTTCCCAAGATTCCAATTAGGCTTCAGTACAGGTCTTTCCAAATATTGTATATTGACCATGCTCCGTTCTCAGCTCTTTGTCTATGCACTGGGATTTAAATACTCAAATGGCAGGCACTGAAACTGCTAAAACAACCGTTCTGGAAATGAATAATTGACTAAGATTGCAATCCTATTTCATAACAGCATTATAGCAACTGCAAGGTCGATTCCAATTGCTAGAGACAAAACCAAATCAAAATCAAAAGAAACAAAATAGAAATGTTTTAGAAATCTTAAACAATAACAACAAAAAACTTTCATCATATTTCTCTATCTTGCATATTGATATTAAATTTATACAAATTTAAACATACCTAAATTTAAAACAGAATTTTCTATAAAAACTCAGTATAAGAACACATGCAAATCTTTATAAAAAGACACAAAGAACAAAAGCAAACAGCTGAAATCATATCCTACTAGGATGGTTGAATTAATTCCTGGAACAAGTTGATGCTGAGGAGTTTTCAGTGGTCTGGAGTTGGATTCTAGAAATCTGAAAATGTTGTACCTAGGCGTTTCAGAGTAAAAGCTGTTTTCCCCTTTCCCTCACCAGTAGAAAAATAATTAAAATAACAGGAAGGCACCAGAAACTAACTCCCACTGAAATTATTTTGAGTGCTGCACTAAAATAGACAAAGCAGTTACTTACATAGCAAAGAATTTAAAACAAAGTAAGAATATGAAATGAAAGTTATTTCTTTTGTTGTAGGAAGTCTAAAAAAATAAAACTAAATCCTCTCTCAGTCTTATACATAAACCCATCGCATAATATGTCCCACCCACACTTGCAAATTACTTAAGTACAACAAAGAAAAGACAACCAGAAAGTGAAAGCTTTGAGTATTGTTTTAAATGCTGCAGGCTAGATATTGTAACAATTGCACAGGATTAGTAAACACTTATCTACAGCTGCGTTTACTTACCCAATCTCTGCTGCAAATAGTCTCTAGCCCTGACTTGCCCTATCCACTCCTTCATTAAACTGAGCTGCACTTTAACGTATCTCAGAGGCAACGTAACTGAAGTGCAGCAAGCTGCAAGTCACATGGAGGAGAGGCAAAAAACCCTGTGCGCTTGCTTTTTTTTTTTTTTTTATGTACTCACTTCACATGGAATGGAACAGTTCCTCTGTTTTCTATTTCCTTCAATCTTGCTTAAGCTTTTTAATAAGGTTTATTAGTAGCTCTCCGCAGCTCTTCCTAAAGAACAGTTAATGCAAAGAGCAATGCTTCTCTCATTAGTTTGGAGCCAAACAGACGCTTTATTACTTCAAAATGTTTTTCTAGGCCAGGTCATCAAATGAAGCCCAGAAAAGCCATTAAATCATAATATAACCACAGCTCCAACAACAATCAGCATTCTGCTGGAATTTCCAGGTTTCAGTGGACTCAGAAATATTATTTGGGCAAATACACCCACTAGATTATTTCCTATTATATAGCATGACATTATAATAGGGATTAAGTAAGGACGAGTCCACTCAAAACTCTGCACTTAGCATCCATCCTTCACCCATGCTCAGTACTGATGCTATCCTGTAACCAGATGTTATGAAATGCCATTAAGCAACAACAGCTGCATGAAGACTCCTGATAATCTTGATCTTTTCAAGTAATATTTACTTATATTACTCTTGCCTTTAATACTACTGATCACAGAAATCGCTTGTGTGTCCCCCCGCTCTCCCTTCCCAAAATCAAGGCCTTAGTTCAGTTGTTCACACATAGTTACCCAGTGCCAATGGAGATGCCCTTTGGTATCCAAAACATTGGCACGGGGCAGGTATATATGACAGGGCACCACAGCATGAGGAACAGAAGCTATAAATAAGCCAGGTGAGACACCAAAGGCCATCTCAAAAACTACTACAAATCCATGTATTGACAATCAAATCATGTCACCAAACATTGATAACTAATGCATGTAAACATACCAGAACTTCCTATATCCCAACTTCTTATCAAATTCAGAGCATAACAAACTTAATAAGGTTGAGAGCACTTCAACACGCTGAAAGTTAAATTATATACTGACGATCACATGAATGAATGGTCAATTATTATTAGAGCTGTAAAAATAAAATGGAAAATTGGAAGACATTTGTAAACACAGCATCTATAACACGATGATTAAACTACGTATTCTCTTTGATTTACATCTCTTAACAACAAACTTCAAGAAAGTAAATAACATGAAGAAAGACAAAATGCATTGTATACCAAAAACATAGACTATGTTTGGAATTTTTCTTAAAATAAAAAAAAAAAAATAAACTAAGCAGTCCATTTAGGTTCTCATCTACTTCAGTCTACAAAATCATGGAGAAGATGTACTCTCATTATTTATTAGATATTTCACGTAATGTAAGAACTCAGAGAATGAAGGAAATTATTAGCAAATAACAAGAAGTGTTTTTTCCTAAATGTAACACATTAGTTAGATTTGAAAAGTATTCCCAAAGGATGTTGAGGACACCAGAAGTATAAATGTCTAAAAAGGTATTTGACAAATTCATCACTAATAGATGCGTCATATACTATAAAACTCAGTATCAGAAACCTTCAATTTATCAAGTCCTCAAAATCCAACGAGGGAACGTTGGGAAGTTACACAACAGGAACAATCACCTCACATGCCCTGCTGCTTACACTCCTTTCTTGAGTCCCTGCTACTGCTATTACACTACTCTGATTCAATATGGTTTCATGAGCTTTATGCTAACTCAGTATAGCTGTTCTTCCTTGTCCTAAACTGAGAATGACTTCTTATACCTTCTTATTTGCATTTACACAGAAGGCATGCTTTCTTATGGGTGCTTATAGAAGGTTATGATTAACTAACTTATGTGAGATGTTTAGTGTGCATTCATTAAAGACAGCTGAACCTGTGTGCAGACACAATCAGAATTAAAATTGATTTAATTGTCCTTAAAACCATTTTCCAGTCATGTAAATTTGGATTTCATTACCAATCTCACCTCATTGCATGTAGTCATATTCGAAGTTCTGTATCTTTTCTTCTACCGATCACAGTCAGCATGTTTTCTTGTATTACATATTACTTTTTTTAAAATTAATGCTTGATGCCTGAAATATTATTATTTATATATCACTCTGAATATGCTAAACTCTCAATAGACAAGAAGAAATTATATCATACAATGACAAAGGAAGTATCACAGGAAACAATGGAAGATGACTGAGGTAACATAAGAATGAGAAAATTCTTAAATCTTGGAGGAACTCAGGTGCCAGTGGTTCACATGCTGACAAAGCAGGAGACAAATCAAGAAGGATGAAGACAGACAAAAGGCCTTAAAAATAAATAAATCAAGCAGATTTAATTTAGAAGATTAAGTTACTTTGAAAATTTTCACTGTTGTTAAGTAGCCAAGAAGAAGTCATGGCTGATTTTGAAAGAGAAAGTTTCCAAAGCCAGATACTGCAGTATATTGGAAAGTAATGAAATTGAGGTAGTGGGAATTAAAAACGCTTTTAACGCAGTAGGTATAGGGAAATGAGCATACACGTTCTTAAAAGTAGAAGGTAAACAACACAAGTCCTAAAACATCACAAGGAATAAATAATGTCTGGAGAGGAAGACAAATGGCCCACTAATGTGATAATGTTCCTATTCAGTCCAGAAAAATCGGAGGCTTTTTGAGTGGGGAATGAAGGAGGAAACAAGGAAATTGTTCAGTCTGCCACCGCATAGGCCTTGCCATAAATTGGGATTTTGACACACGTTCACATTAGGATAATTTGGCTTCTAAAAAACCACAGAAACTCATTCAGATGTACACACGCATCTGGAAAATACTTCAATGAAAATTACACAGCCAAGTTTTGGGCCACTACTGCAACTTTCTTTCAGACAGCACCTATAAGGAACAAGCTTACCATCTTGAAAGGATATAAAATTGCCATTAAATTCAGTGTAAATTTGAAAGCACTTTTTGCTTTCAAAGGGGTTAACTTTACCGATAACATTCTATATGCCTTCAACCCAATGGGTATAGACCTACAATCTGTAAAAGAAAATCATAGAGAGTTTAATTAAAGCCTATTGCCTAATTTATAACATATTGTATCAGCAATATATAAGAAAATACAGTTCCCAAAGCTTGGTGCCTACATTTCTGGTTTCCTTTACTGATTCAAAGAAAAATGCAGACACTACATTTGCTCATCAAGAAAACAATGGTCTACATCTCAGCAGCAACACAGCAGCTATTGTAAAGCACCCCACTTCCTGCAACATATTTGCATTAAGGCACCTTCTGCTGCTCTAAACTATTATCAGGCATTACACTAATAGCACTTTGTATGGCCGATCTTGAATTGACTTAGTAATGTAGAAACATCACTTAGAATCTGAAACAGGCGGGGAAATGGTTTTCCTGTTCTTTGAACAGATATTTTTAAAATATCTTTCTGGAACTAATGAAGAGCGGGTGATACAGCGAGAGAACACTGCCACCTCTCCTCTTAGGGACCGTACCCAATGCTGGGGCATGAACGTAACAGATGTAATGCTTCCTAACTTCTCTGTGCTTCCAGACGTCAACGAGCAAGTTCTGGCAAATACCAGGATAACACGTGATGCCTCCCTTGCTTTCTGCCTGCCACTCCATTTCCTTGTCCTCGCGCAGGTGAGTCCACATGAATGTGACAGATGGATGCACCTCCATCACAGTGGTGGGAGTATTCTGCTGGGGTCCTTGATGCTCCCATACCTACCAGAACTTGTCTGCAAAAATCGCAGT